TTTTTTTAAAAAGAATAACAAAACTTTTTAAAAAGGGGTGGTGGTCTTGCCCATGAGAGGAAGAGGACAAGACTACCAGTCACGGCCGCTCGGAGGAGAAGCCCTTGACCCCTCTCCGGGGGCGGGGTTTCCACGTGGGCCTCGCCCTCAGCGACCAGCCGAGGGTCAGTGCTGGACGCGTCAGCCCCGCTCACGTACCTCTCCGTCTCTGACCCAGATCGCGTCAACCCTCCAGGGAACGTCACGGCCGAGGTCCAGGGGAGCCGTCTGCATGTCCGCTGGGGGAAGCCCGTGTCCGCCTTCCCGGGCCATTGCTTTGAGTACGAAGTGAGACTCCACAACACAAGGAAGCAGTACTTACAGGTAAGCCGGCGACTCTTCCCACACGTGTGCAAAGGTCACCCCATGGACCCAGTGCTCCAGGAGTCAGGTGATCACTCCTGTTAGAGGCGGAACTGAGGCTCAGGGGCTCGAAAGCTGCCCTGGAGGGAGAGCTAGGGTTCAACCTGCCCCGAAGTCTCCCCTCTTCCTGCTTCCCTGACACCACCCCCCCCCCGCACCCCCATTGCACATCAGGGATCAGCAAACTTTTTGGCAAAAGACCAGTTATTGTCGGCTTTGCAAGTCCCACGGTTTCGGCCGCCGTCCCCCGCGTCTTGTGTGGGACAAGCGCCGCCATCGGCGGCCCAGACGCCAGCGGGCGCAGCGTGTGCCTGACCCTCTCCTCCTGGCCCCGGAGTCCAGGTTCATGGGCATTGCCTGTGGCAGGGACTGTTATTCTTTAGCTCGTTTTCACACATTTAAAGGTACAGAACGCACTCTTAGTTCGCAGGCCCGGCCGAAGCGGGCAGCCGGCCGGAGGGGCCCGGGCCTGTCCTTTGCTGATGCGACAGAGGACGGAAAGCGAGGGAGCACAGAGGGAGGAGGGACACGGCGAGGGGGGGGGCGTGGTGCTGTCAGCCACTCGGGTCCCTCAACCTGGGGACACCATGGGGACCCAGGGGGGCCATCGCGACCTGACACTCGCCCGTTTTATTTACTTGGGCTACAAGAGCGCTTCCCCCTGCAGGGTGACTGCCCGCGGTCCCCTCCACCCCGAGCAGCCCGAAACAAACTCCTAATACGTGTCCTGTTGACGTCCAGTGGCTCGCTGGGCAGCGAGTCCCGTTACGTATAGATGACCACTCGCTCTGAGCGCTGGCATTACTGAGCTCCGTGTCTAGAGCTTTACTAGAATCCAACTTTTTTTCCCGTTTAGACAGAAAAAATGACGACCAATGAGTTCACCACAACAGTTCATGACATTTCTAAGTATTGCATCAAAGTGAGGGGCGCCGTGAGCTCCGTGTGCAGAGAGGGGGGGCTCTGGGGCGAGTGGAGTCCAGCGATTTCCGTGGGTGAGTATCATGCATTGGACTATTTAATTTTACTATTTCTGTTTAAAAAATGTTTTGATTTTAGAGAGAAAGGGAAGGGAGAGACAGAGAAACATCTATCAGCTGCCTCCTGCATGCCTCCTGCTGGGGATCAAGCCCAGAAGCCGGGCACGTGCGCTGACCAGGAATCAAACCAGAGACCTCTTGGTGCCCAGGATGGCGCCCAACCCACTGAACCACACGGGCCAGGGCCCTTGCATTTCCTTCCAAGCCAGCAAGCTTATTCCTGGTGAAGGCAGAGAATCCCGGCCCACGCTCTAACTGCTGAGCCACACAGGCCAGGGCAGGCGCACATGTATCTTTTGAAAAACAGAATTAGCAGTTTCACTTTATCAGCCCTCGCATCACCTGCCCTTCCTCAACTGGCTCCCAGGTCTTATCGGGCCGGCTCACTTCCCGCTTTCTGCGTCTTTCTCTTTTCTAAACTTGCTCAACTTCTGCATTCTGCTGTCCCCGTTGTCCTCGCTGCCCCCGGGTGACGCCCCCTCCCGACCCTGGGGAGCCCTGCCCTCTCTGAGGTCTTCCCCTCTCGCCCCAGCGAAACGCAGATGCCCCGCGGGAAGCCTCGGGGTGGGGAGGGGACTTCCGGCGGCCCCGCCCTTCCCGTGGGCGCCCACCCGTGTCCACTTGCGCTTACTCCCGCCCCGCGTCCCGGGTCAGGCCCAGGCACTCGAGTCCTGCTCCTCGGGGACCAGGTCACCCCCAATCCCAGGCTGTGCCCCTCACACAGGGCCTCGCCCGGCCCTCGGAGGCCGGGATCTATGCGACGCCTCACAGGTGCCTTCAGGGGATTCATGGTCGAGGGGCGCAGCGTGGCATGGCCCTGGGCAGCACACCTGTCGGCAGGGTGTGCAGGTGGCTCAGCGGTCAGCGCCACGGGGCAGAGGGTGGGAGGCCTGCGCATGCGCTTCAGGACGCAGGGATGGTCCCGCCCCTCACCCGCCCAGGGGGGACTGGCCGGGGCGCTGCTGGGAGAGCCCCCCTCTGCCCCTGCTTCTCCCCTGCAGCCTCCCCCCACCCCAGCACAGCACCCAGGGCTGCAGGCCCTCCCGGGCCTAGCCCCCCAGGACTTTCTTCCCTGTAAGGCAGGGGTGGGGAGCCTTTTTTTTCTGCCAAGGCCCACGTGGATAATTATAACATCATCCATGGGCGAAATTATCCACTTAAACATTCTGCCCTGGCAGGTTGGCTCCATGGATAGAACATCGGCCCACGGACTGAAGGGTCACGGGTTCGATCCCAGTCAAAGGCTTGTATCCGGTTGCAAGCTCCATCACCGACCGTGCTGGAGGCACACTTGTCTCTCTCACATTGATGTTTCTCTCTCTCTCTCTCCCCCCTCCACTATCTCTAAAAATCAATGGAAAAATATCCTCGGGTGAGGATTAACAAAAGTTAATAAATATAATGTATTCTAGATAGTAGTCTTTGAAAAAAAATTAGCCTGCTAGATTTGGTCAAACATTTCATGAACTCACTCCTAATGCCGTGGCAGGGCCAGACCAAATGATTTCACGGGCCCTCAGACATGCCATTCCCCACCCCTGCTCAGGGCTAGGGACCTACTGAAGTAGCTAAAGGCTGCGGTCAGCGTGGAGAAGTGAGCCAGCAGGGCCCCGGGGTGTAAGCCTGGCCTGCCTCTTGCTAGGAGGTGACCTTGAGCCAGGAATCCAGCGTCCAGGGCCTGCTTTGCACCGTGGGGCGAAGTGGGCATAAGGGCTGAAGGAGTCAGTACCCATCAAGTACTCGGCTGTATGACCGTGATTATAATTAAGCACATTGTGTCAAAATGGCCGGAGAGCTATCCCCCTGGACTCTAAGACCACAGCGTCCCAGAGCAGGCGAGGCTGTGCCCAGAGGGAGGGCCCCAGAGGCAGAGCTGGGACCAGGCCTCCGACTTCTCCCTCTCGTTTGCCCCATCTTACCCCACTGCACACCCCAGGCTGCCCACCCTCTTCTCTGGGTTATAAAACACAATTTTCACGAGTTGGCTCATTCTCGAGGTTGAATGGCCAGATGTCAGAAACGATGGAGGCCCAAGTCCCCAGAAACCGAGGCCGGGCCATGTCTGAAAAGCAAGGGATCGGGGAGCCTGGGGGACCCTGGGGGCCGCACCGCGAGGAGACTTCCTCTTTCCAAGCTCACCTCTGCAGGCTGCACAGCCTGCCCACCAGTTTCCTGAAAAGAAACCTCTGAGTTTCTCCTTGAGTCAGAAAATTCACCTTCTAGGGAAACACTTGTTCTTAAGAAATTCTCTGAGGCCAGAATTCAAATTCATCCTTCTCAGGGGCGGCCCAACTTTTACTATGGCCTTGAAGTGCCAGCCATCGCCAGCGGAGACACCCTGTGTGTGTGTGTTTGTGGGGGGGGGATGTCCGCCTCGAGCTATTGTCTGAGTGAGAGGAAATGGGATTTTTAGTCACTATTTTGCATGAATGAATAGCTGAGCTGAGCAGCAGATAACCCCGTCCTTTCTGTGTGGCGTGAGTTCGGGAAGCTCTGGCCCTCGGTTTACCCGCCAGGTGTGTGTCCTTGGAGGTGAAGCCGACCGTGGTCTGTTCTCTGGGTGGGCTCTGTGCTCGGCACCGGGACCTGCAGCAGCCAACTGCCCACCATGCCCTCCGTGGCACCTCGCCTGCACCAAGCCCTTTATTCGACGGAGAAATAAAATCAGTTGTCTCCATACTTTTGCTAATGCAGCGAGAATCTTCGCTTATCAAAGCGAGAGCTGCGCCAACAGCTAGAGGGTGGTTTAACAGAAGGGTTTGTGTCGCCAGTCGGTCAGAAGGAACCGGTGCTTTATCAGGCCCGGGCACGCCAGGCCTCGGGCGTTGCGCCACGCGGGACGGAGTGGGCCACGTGTGGGACCCTGATAGTGGTTACATGGCGGCTCCTTCCTTCTGCAGGACCCGGGCTTGACCTGTCTGACCCAGTTGTAGAAGGTAGAACGTTCTAGATTCTGTGTGTGTGCATCTGAAGTTCATGAAGTTAATGACCTCAGATTTTTCTGGGATGCATTTCTAGTGCCTTAAAAAGTCCCCGTCCTCCCCAAGTTGTCCTCAAAGCCCATAGAAGAATCTGTTTAGATTCTTCCAAACAGACTAGCAGCGAATTTAAGGAGAGTAAGGTAGAACTTAGCGACCATCGCCGCTCGCTCCGCTTCCTGGCTGGGATGTGGGGGAAGGGAACGGGTCTCTGAGAATAAGACTGTATCTCACTCACAGTCTTATATATTTTTATTGATATCAGAGAGGAAGGGAGAGGGAGGGATAGAAACATCAAGGATGAGAGAGAATCAGTGATCGGCTGCCTCCTGCACACCTCACGCTGGGGATCCAGCCCGCAATGCAGGCATGTGCCCTGCCCGGGAATCGAGCCCTGACGGCCTGGTTCATAGCGGACACTATTCTTGCTCACTATGAGTATCACTCCGTGTTACTGCTGATATAAGTTCAATTTCCAACTTTTAAAGCCTTTTTTAAGTGGTGATGTGATTCGGTTACTGAGTAGGCCTACATTGTTGTAGCTTTTCCATCTGAAACCTTATTACTCCACCCTGGCCGGCGTGGCTCGGTGATCAGAGCACCAGCCCACACACTGAAGGGTCGTGGGTTCGATTCCCAGGCAAGGGCACGTGCCTGGTTGCAGGATCCCTCCCTGCCCCGGGTCAGAGCGCAGGCAGGAGGCAACCAGTGAATGTATCCCTCTCTCTCTCTCTCTCTCTCTCTCTCACATGGATGTTTCTCTCTCTCCCCTTCCCCCCCCCCTCCGTCTTTCCCTCCCTTCCATGCTCTCTAAAAAGCAGTGGAAAAATACCCTCAGGTGAACATTTACAATAGATAAATAAATAAAACCTGATTGCCCCCCTAAAGCAGATGCGCTCCAGGTGGCATCGTAGGTAAACGTTCGCCACTGATACCTGCTGAGTAAATGATGCTTCGAGGTGAAAGAGGGCGACCCTGCCCGCATTTCCTGTTGCCCTCCTGTCTGCTCTGAAGGTGGGCTCCAAGCCCAGGGTCAGCCAGCGCCTGCGACTCCACGCCCCGCCTCCCGATCGCCCGGCCGCCATCTCTCTTCTCTGTCACTGATTCTAGCTCCGTCTCCTCCTTTCCTTTTCCACCAGGAAACGAGGCGCAGAAGTCCTGGACGGAATGGTACCCGATCACGCTGGTGGCCGCCCTGTGCCTCGCCTTCGTCTCCTCCCTCGCCTGCAGAACGTAGGTCTCCTCCGCGCTGGGTGCACCCTGGGCTGAGGTTGCCTGTTCACCCTCCGGCTGAATCCGCTGGGGCTCTTGTTGGGGGGTGGCTATGGGGGGGGGATATGGCACGTCCGTGTCATCGGGACCCCCGTTCCGAGATGAGAGTGGAGCCAATCAGAGGCTGAGAAACACCAGCCGGTGACGCGCAGACGGGGCCTCGGCACAGCGTGGCCTGCAGCCTTGACACCCCCCACCCCTTTTAAATATCTTTTTATTGACTTCAGAGAGGAAGGGAGAGGGAGAGAGAGAAACGTCAATGATGAGAGAGAGTCATTGATCGGCTGCCTCCTGCACGCCTCCCACTGGGGATGGAGCCCACCGTCGATGCCCTGACCAGAAATCGAACCGTGATCTCCTGGTTCATAGGTCGATGCTCAGCCACTGGCCGGGCACCATTCTGTGTCTCTCAAATGATGCGGACGCCACCAACAGCCTGCAGCCCCCGGGGTCCCCGACCATTACGGCCCCGTAGATGTTGGGGGGTCTTGGCCAGCGCAGATTTGAAGACACCGAACAGCAGGCCCTGCAGTCGGGAGGTCGGTGTGTAGCGTGACACTGAACGGCCTCATCCCCCCTTCGCTCTCTTCTCAGATGTCACGTGTGGACCAAGCTGTTTCCACCAGTCCCAGGACCCAAAAGCCACATTCAAGACTTCGCTGCCACAGTGAACTACGAGGTACGTCCAAGGTCCTTCCGCTGTGTCCCCCCTGCCAGGGTCGGCCCCCCGGGTTCCCACACGTAAGGCGGGTCTTCCCAGGCCCGGGCCCTGGGGCTGCAGGCGTCCCGCTCGGGCCGACGGCTTTGCTATGAGCGTTCCTTCCCCTGCTCAGTCCTGCGTCCCTCACGGCCACACTGGGACCCGAGTTTCCCATCAGCCGCCTCTGACGGCCGTGGCCAGGCCTGCAGCCCACGCACCGCCTTTCTCGGCTGTGGAGGAAGAGGCGTGGAGGGCCCAGTGCCCGCTGAGCTCTAACACCAAGGACCCGGGGTTCTGCCGGGGGTGTCCTCACGGGTCTGGTCAACTGATTTCTCCCGAGCGGCGTGTTCCTAGGCCCCAGTCACCGCTCAGGGCGCAGCTCGGCCACGGCGCACGGCTATGGCTCGCCAATGGTTCCAGCATCATTGGGGGGAGCACTTTCCCCAGGGAATCATCTTGACATCTTTGTTGAAAAGTAGTTGTTCAGCCCCGGCCAGTGTTGCTCAGCTGTTGGAGCACCAGCCCGTGCACCAAAGGGTTGCAGGTTCAATTCTTGGTCAAGGACATGCCCCTTGGTGTGCAGAGCTAGAGAGGGGGGTGGGGGGGGGGAGAGGGAGAGTGCGCGCAGGTAGAATTGGGAAAAGCCAGTACCGCCTCCTGCTGTCTGCCCTGCAGCCCGGCTCTGCCCCTGGGAGGCCGTGGGAACCAGTGGACAGCTGAGCACAGCTGGGCCACAGCTGGCAGCGCCTCAGCCTCTATCTCCAAAGGCAAAACCTGCCCGATCACTTTTGGGGGCTTCGGCTTCCAGGGCCTCAGGGGGCCCATCAGGGCCCTTGGCAGCGAGGGTTTGGCCAAGGCCTGGGAAGCACTGGGCTGGTGGGGGGGGGGGGGCGCGGGGCGTACACCTCTGCCTGTCGTACGGCTCTGCCCTGAGCATGGCTGGCCCCAGGCCTCCCTGAGCCCCTTCTGCTCGTTCAGACCGAGTTAGAAACTAACATCAAAGGGCAGGCACTTGGGGGGCGGAGGGGGTGAAAGAGGGATGAGTTGGCCTTTATAATAAAACAGTCTTATTCTGCCCTGGCTGGCCTGGTGCTCAGTTGGTACAGCATGTGCCCAATACACTAGGTTGTGGGTTCAATCCCGAGTCAGGGCACACACAGCAGCAGTCAACGAATACCTAAAAGCCCTGGCTGATCTGGCCCAGTGGATAGCGCGTTGGCCTGTGGACGTTCCTCCCAGGTTCCATTTCCGGTCAGGGCACATGCCCGGGTTGTGGCCTCCATCCCCAGTAGGGGGCGTGCAGGAGGCAGCCGATCGATGGTTCCCTCTTATCATTGATGTTTCTATCTCTCTCCCTCTCCCTTCCTCTCTGAAATCAATAAAATAAATAAGATAAAAAATATGGATACCTTCACTTAAAAAAACGAATGCATAAGTAAGTGGAACAACAAGTCAATGTTTCTCTCTCCAAAATCAAGTTAAACCATCTTATTCTGAGTTTTCAGTTGGTTAGAGACGGTTCCCAGCCACCATTCGTTTCTGCGGTAGGAACAGAGGGTTCCCTCCGAAATCCAGGGGCCGTGGACGATGGAAGGTGCGTGAGGCGGAGACCACGCCTGTGGCGGGTCACGCACATCTGCTCCCGGCAGCGCCCGGCGCAGACGCCGACAGCATTTGGCTGAATATGGCCTCTCAGGGGCCGTGTCATTTTTTATCGAAGATTTCCTAACTGGTATCAGTGTTACTTAAAATCACCAAAATGGGACGTAGCAAATGTGTCCTTGGACAGAATACAATGGAGCTATTAAAAATAATGCAGCTAAAAAAAAATTTAAAAAAAGAAAAGAAAAAAGGGTGCGGCCACGGCACACACCATAGAATGCAAGCGCCGTGGGTGCTACCCAGGAAGGAATCCGTTTGCGAAGCTGCTTCTGCGCTGACCTCGTAACTGCACAGATGAGTTTCCCCACAGGAAAGGGGGCTGAGGGCCCGGGGCTGTGTTTGGGGGGGCGGTGGGGGGGGGTCTATCCCGGGTATTTTTTCTCTTTTCTACTTGATTTGCCACATTGTCTTCACTGAACAGTTACTGTTTTTAGAAGCAAAACAGACTTGTGCGCCACGTGCCACGAGGCTGGAAGGAGAGCTGAGAGGGGGTCTGTCTTGCAGAAATCCGGGTCGCGAGAGACAGAGAGCGAAGTCATCAGCTACGTGGAGGAGCCCGGGCTCGAGGTCCTGGAGGACTTGGTGTTCTGACGGGGTGTGGGCCGCCGGCAGCGAGGACTGCTTCCCGCTCAGAGGCGCGGAGTTCCCCAACACGGGCCATCACTGCGGCCCGGCCGGGCGCCGGGGGATGCGCCTCTTTCTCTGCGAGTCCAGCACAGCACTGACCCCGAGGACGGAGACGCTATGGACCCTGTCCTTGCACAGAGCTGGACGCAGCGGCACAGGGCAGAGCCAAGGCCACGTGCTGTCTGGGGAGAAGGCGGCGTTGTAAGACTGCGACAGGAATCGCAGGGCCATGTGGACCTGGCCATTGGCCTCCGCAGCCCGGCTCTTTCTGCTGACGTCGCTGCTCAGCGGTGACGCGTGTATGGCTGAGAGGAGCTGGGCTTTGGGAGAAAGTTCACGATTTTTTGTTCGTTTTTAAAAAATATGTTTTTATTGATTTTAGTGAGGAAGGGAGAGGGAGAGAGAGAGAAACATCCATGATGAGAGAGAAGCATGGATCGGCTGCCCCCTCACGCCCCACACTGGGGCTCCAGCCCACAGCCCGGAAATGTGCCCTGACCAGGAATGGAACCCTGACCTCCTGGTTCATAGGTTGATGCTCACCCACTGAGCCACACGGCCGGGCAGAAAAAGGCACGTTTTGAGTGGCCACTGGCCTGTCATGGCCGGAGAGAGTGGACATTCACTTAACAGTAAATGCCCCCGTCGGCAAGTTGATTAGACACTGGCCCAGCCTCCCACCAGGACAGGTGGGCGGCACCCCCCCCCCCCAGAGCCTGGGTCACGGACCAGAACACAGGGGGCTCCTCCTTCACGCCCCCCACTGAGGGCTGAGCCCTGCCCCCCCATCTCTCTCTCTCTCTCTCTCTCTCTCTCTCTCTCTCTCTCGCTGTTGGGATTCTCTGGTGCCTTGTGGGGGTGGGGTTGGGAGTTCAGTTTGCCAACAGCTCGCCCATCGCCCACCTGAGCCTCCTTGAAAAGCCTGGGGCCCTGGCTGTTTGCACAGGGGGGAGGGGAAGGGGGGAGGAGGGAAAGGGGGAGGGGGAGGTGGGAGGTGTGGTGGAGAAGCCCAGCTCACAGAGAACTCTGATTAAAAACCCAAACTTTTTCACAGCAAGAGACTCGTATGTGTCAGAACCATCTGCTGGTGGAATTAATAAACCGTAGGTGCTAATTGGCCAGGAAAACCAGCTCCCTGCCCGGGAGTGCGAACAGAACCGAGCGCCCCTGACGGCGGGCGCGTGAGACCTAATTAGATTGGGGCCTGGGCTGCGCCTGGAGCCTTGGTGACAGCGACACAGTGACGGAGCAGCTACTCCTGGTCCCCGACCTGCACGCCAAGTTCCCGGCCACAGACTTCCTGAAAACCAGCCTGTTTCTGAGAATGTTCTATTGAACTTAAAGACAGTCTTGTCCCCCCACCCCCACCCCCCCACCCCCCCAATGCCGTGTTAGGAATAGACATGCGTGTACATGCAGCACAGAATGAGAAATGTCAACATGAATGACGGCGGGTCGTCTGAGCCCGCAAGCTGAACGGAGGTGTCTCCCGTCCCCCCGAGACCCCCTGGCCCCCACGACCGCTCCGTCTCCCCAGGACCCTGCAGCGGCTCACGGAGCTCTTCCCGCCCATTTCCTTCCGGAAGGATCTGTGCCACCTGCAGTGTCACCCCGTCCACAGCCCTTCACGACCCGTCACCTTCCCAACCAAGTCCCCTGTGATCGGCTGGTCAGGACCCCGCAGCCCACCCCCTGGGACAGCTGAGGGACCTCTCTCCCCGGCCGCCCTCTGCCCTCGAGCCTCCGCCTACAGGTTCTCCGGGAAAAGCCTTTCAGTCTCTCCTCTCACTGACACTTGATCTACGGAGACTCGGCCCTTTGCCCCCAGGAGTCTCCCTCTGCCTCCCCATCCCTTCGGTTGGCGTCGACCGACCATCGGTTCTGACACTTACCCTGCTGTCTCGCACCCTCCTCTCTCATGGGAAGCAGGAACATCAGCGTCGAGGACGGAGTCCTGTGGCCCTCGTGGCTTTGACCCCCGGGAAGGACCGGCTGAGCTTCTCCGGACACGCGAGGAGGCGCGCTGCGTAAACGGACAGAAACGCTCCCAGGTCTCGCTGATCTGCGCTAACGAACAGCGGCGCCCGATGCAACCGCGTATGAAAACCACCTGCTGCGCCAGCGTCTGACCTCGCAGGTGGCGTGGCCTCAGAGCTCCTCATGCGCGGTTTCTGTCCTTGGGTGGCTGCACGTTCTCTGGGAGGAAGGACAGGGGGCACCTGGGAAGAGGTGAGTCAGGGCTGGACGTTCTTCCCCGATGTAAACGACCAACAATGCCGGGCAGGAGGAGCCCGTCACCTGCCGGGAGATCACCGCCCACGGCAGTTCCCGAGTCTGGGCTGGGGGAGCCCCGAGCTCACCTGGGAACGAGACATGTCACCGCGTCGTCTGCTCCCGCGGGAGGAGCCGGTTGTCCGGAGGCTGTGCGGGCTCCGTAAGACGGGACACGCAGAGGATCCCATCATCTGGCAAAACAGAATTTCCTCGGACGCCGTTAATTACACGGGATCTCACACCAAACCAGAGGCCCAGGGGAAGCCCTCGAAAAGGCTAACTAGCCCGCCGGCGTGGCTCAGTGGTTGAGCATTGACCTTTGAACCAGGAAGTCACGGTTCGATTCTGGTCGGGGCAGGTGCACGGCTGCTGGGTCAATCCTGAGTGTGGGGCGTGCAGGAGGCAGCCGATCAATGAATCTCTCCTCATCATCGATGCTTCTTCTCTCTCCCTCTCCTCTTCCTCTCAAAAATTAATGACAACTGCCCTAGCCGGTTTGGCTCAGCGGATAGAGCGTCGGCCTGCGGACTCAAGGGTCCCAGGTTCGATTCCGGTCAAGGGCATGTACCTGGGTTGCGGGCATATCCCCAGTAGGGGGCGTGCAAGAGGCAGCTGATCGATGTTTCTCTCTCATCGATGTTTCTAACTTGCTATCCCTCTCCCTTTCCCTTCCTCTCTGTAAAAAAATCAATAAAATATATATTTAAAAAAAAAAAAGAAATGGGTTACCCATTACTCTTTAAAAAAAAAAAAAAAGAAATTAATGACAATATATATTTTAAGAAAAAAGAGAAAAGGCTAATTAAGCAAAGCCCTTTACCTGGCCCCCTCCGCGCCACTGGCCATGATCCCAAGTGATAGGACCCCCCCCCCCCACTCGGGCGTGTTGACAGGGCCTCGGGCCTGGGACGTCCCCTCGGACACGTTAGGCCCAGAAAGTGTGCCGCTCAGACCTTCCCAGCACCCCTTCTCCCATCTTCCTGAAACGTCATCGCAATTTTCCTTGAGCAGATGGCCCTCCCGGTGGGTGCAGGCCTGGCGTGATCCAGGGCCTCCGGCCGGGGGACACCAAGAGACTGACCAGTCTCTCCCAGAAATGCGGGCATCGAGCAGAGTGGCGTCGATATTGGAAAAAGAGCCCGGCCGGCGTGGCTCCGTGGCTGAGCACTGACCCATGAACCAGGAGGTCAGGGTTCGAGTCCCGGTCAGGGCACATGCCCGGGTTGTGGACTCCAGCCCCAGTAAGGGGTGTGCAGGAGGCTGCTGATTGGTGATTCTCTCTCATCATTGATGTTTCTCCCCTTTCCTCTCTGAAATCAATAAAATGTTAAAAAAATAAACTGGAAAAAGAGCTGATTTGTTCCCACACAGGACCCCAACGACTTCCCTACGTCCCTGTGGCCTGGGTCCTTGGGGGCCTGTCCGTATTCTCACCAGGGTGGCTGCTCAGCACGTCCCTGGCTCCCGTGACCTAACCACGCCCTCCTCGGTGCTCCCGGAGTCGGCCGGGGCTGTTTCTGTGGCTTGTCACCAGGGAGCCCAGCCGGCGGCCGTGTGAGCCGCCAGGCAGACACGCTGGTGCGGGCGCCTCTGAGGCACCTCCTAGCGCATCTTCAGCCCAGTCAGGCTCCGCAAACCGGGGCCCGACTCGTCAGACCCCAGAGCTGAGAGATGGAAGGACTTTCAAGGCCCAACGTTAGATGCCGGGCCTTCTAGCGCTTTCACCACCTCTTGGGGGGGTGGTGATGGTCTTCCCGGGGGGTGCACCGAGCCGGGCAACTGAGGCAAAATGCTACTTCAAGAGTCCTTGGATCGATTCATCAAGGATTGTTTATTGCAAGGCACGGTGCTAGGCACGGTGGGGGTACATGGAAGAGAGCCAGCGCCCTGCCCCCAAGGAGCTCACAATCTGGGTGGGAGACAAGGTGTACAGACAAGGACAGCTGGGCAACACACAGGAGGTCAGAGACAACCAGGCACAGTAACAGTTTCCCCGGGCGTCCCGGAGCCGGTCCACCCGAGCAGGACCCGCCACGGCTTGCAGCTCCTTCAGAGGACGTCTCAAAGGACCGACGCGTGTGGGAGGCTGCACCGTCCGCCCGGGACCCTCGGGACCCGGGGGAGGGGGGCCTGGGGCGTCTGGGGGAGAAGGGGGAGCGGGAAGGTTATTGCAGGAAGGGGCAGCTGTGTGACCCAAAGGCACCGAGGTGAGACCGGAAGCAAGGGGCGGGGCCAGGGTCCAAGGTGGACAGGTTAGAAGATTTAAAAGGGCCTTAGATGCTCATATTTGGAGTTTATGCTTTTTAACAAAACGGCAGGTCTCCTGGGATGAGCGATACGCAAGGCGTCGCTAACGGAGAGGACGGATTCGAGTTGGACCTTCGGGACGTTTATCTGAGGTTTCCACCCTCTGCACCTGCACACGGGGCGTGGACTGGTGTCTGCAGGGCTGTCACTTCCAAAGGGACAGCTCGGGGGCCGCTAGCGGTGGATCCTGCCGGAGACGGCGGAGCCCCTCTGTGATCTCAGTATAACCGCCAGGGCGAGCTCACGGTTCCCTTCTGCAGGCAGGAAGAAGGCTCCCGGAAGACAAGCATCTTTACAAACAACAGAATATTTATTAACAATAGCGTTAGAAAAAGAGTACATTTGCTGCTGGGTCACTGGGAAGTACCATCGACATGGGGGTGGGAACTACCTGGGTGGCTTCTTTTTTTTTCATTCATTTTATTATTTTGTTGT